CGCATGGATGGCCTCGACATCGACCTTAAATTGGGCCACTTTGGCATCAGCTTTGGTGTTGGCCATGGCCACCTCAGATCTAGCCACTTCGAGTTCGCTAGCCAAGTTTGCCTTATCAGAAACAACCAAGTCCAATCGATATTGAAGCTCCTTGATTTTATCGACCTACACTAAGGCCTTCTCTTTTGCAGCTTGGAGCTGGGTCTCGGCCGACTCCAGTTGTGCTTGGACGGCTTACTTTTTCGAGGCTAAAATGTCCATATTCTTCTTGAACTCTTCAGCCTCGTCTTGTATTGTATCTACTTATTTCTGAAGCTCCCCGATATGTTCGAGGATCTGACGTACCTGCAGGATCGGATCGTTAGTTACTATCTACAATTCATCTTCACTATCGTGAAGCACTCGGAATACCTGCGCTCGGCCATCTCGGCATGCTCGTCCCGAGCTATTATTAAATCGGCCTGAAGCTTCTCACTGAGAAGCTTGTAGGTGTCACTTTTCTCAGTGAGGTCCCGATGTCGGAGAAAAGCCTCGTGATGCAACACCGAAGCCTACAAGCATAAGGGAAGATGTTATGGTTATTTACAACTTTAAAAGTTAGAATATATGAGAAAGAAAAGGCACCTCAATTTACCCGATTTAATGCTTGTCGGGCTTCATTGAATAAACCAGTAGTGCCCGACGACGATTCCTTCCTTAATACCGGCAGGTCACCGAGCCCGGTGACGTCTTCCAAAGCAGAGGACTCAACCCCATCCAAGAAGCCGTGGATATAGGTCACCCCCTGAGGACTCAACATACCGGCCTCACGGATCATGGCATCTGAAATCTGAGGAGACCCGCTGAGGTCGACCGCTCCAAGTTCGTATATTGGGGCACTTTCCCCGCTCTCTCTCTCGACCTCTCTAGCTTGGGGCGGAATGAGATCGACTCTTTTTGGCTCGGAAGCTTCAACTTGAGCTCTCTCACCGACCTCCTCATGTCGGGATGCTTGAACTTCAGCGCTCGCCGGTTCGAGAACTTCTTGTACGGTGACGGTGGCCCGCACCCGTCCACCAATTTGGAATTATCTTCCTCTTCTTCTTCGGACTCGTCCCTTAATCGGCGGATTGAATTCGAAGACATAGAACCGGTGTCCCCCCGGGCTTGCGAGTCCTCCTTGCCGGTCTTTTCTTTTCCGAGCCCGGGGAACTCGGATCTCCTTTCCTCTTCTTCTCTTTGGCCTGCTTCGGAGCAGGGGGTGGGGAAAGACCTCTTCGTCAGCAGATTGGGGCCTTATTGCAACATCCTTTCCGAGGCCTACAAAGAAAAAAAGATGAGTAAGCTCAAGAAAAAGCCCGAACGATCACTGTTCTAAGAAGGAAATTTACCATGATTACGGGCCTCTCATCGACCCCTCGACAACTCCATCCAAGCACGCTCTGAGTACGGCCTCTGTAACACAAGGCCTTCGACCTATTTTTTAAGTTCCGGAATTGGGTCCAGCATCTGGGCTACAGCTGCGACGCCAAAAAATATCAATGAAGAAAGAAATAAGAAGAAAAGCAACGAGATTAAACCTTCAAAGCGAAGTACTACTTATGTTTCATGTTCCATTTCTCGAGAAATGGCATGTCTTCAAAAGGGATCAGGTCCGAAATCCTTACTCGAACAAATCAGCCCATCCAACCTTAGTCCCAACCTTCATCTATGCTCGAGAATGGAGCCTTACTAGCTCGGTGAGCAAGCTTAATCAGCCCGCCTCGATAAAGTCGGGGACTGTATAGGCGCATAAGGTGGTCGAGGGTAAAGGGACATCCCTCGATTTTGTTTACAAAAAATCGGAGGAGAATCACTATTCTCCAGAAGGAGGGGTGGATCTGGTCGAGGGTCACATCATACCTCTTGCAAAAGGCAATAATGATGGGGTCTAAGGGACCTAACGTAAAGGGGTAAGTGTAAACACTTAGATACCCCTCCACGTGAGTAGTGATCGATTCCTCGGGCGAAGGAACCACCACATGCTTATTGACCCAGTTGCAGTCCTGTTTAACCCTAGCGAGGAGTTTTTCGGTGATTGTGCATATGTACCTCGAGACCGGCTCGCATCGGCCCCTTACCAAGGAGGCCTTTTCGACCCTAAAATCAGTAACAGTCGGACACCCTGCCGGAACGAATTCCTCAGGGTGGGGTTCCGCCGCAGCCTCATCGCCGGCGGGCCGTGATGAAGAAGCAGCCTCCTTTTACGGTACGGTCTTAAAAGTTTTCGCCATTGAAGAACAGGAGAAAAGAGAATTAAGATAGCATGCAGATTGATGAGAATTCAATAAATTTGGGTGCAAAAGTTGTAAATCAAAGGGGGTTTTGAAGAAAAATCAAGAGTAGGAAGAGCTTTGAACGTAAAAAAGTTTGAATGAGAAAAAACTAGGGTACTTATAGCTTGTTGGTGATGGTTCAGAACCGGTAGTGGCCGACCAGCGACTGATAGACATTTAATACCTTGATAACTGGACCGACGGGACATTTCGAGTTGTTGCTTACGTCATGATCAGGTGTACCAGTGACGTTCGTCGTTTACATCATTACCCGTCGAGACGGAGCTCGAAAATTCATATCGTTTCTCGTAATTTTCTCTCCGAGAAACGAGGGGACTATCTGTATACGGTCAAAGCCGGGCTTGCCTTTCGTATGACTGATCAAGACTAGAACATGATAGGGCAAGGTTCAAATTCGTATTATATCGAACCATGGTACGAAGTTAGATTGTCGAGCTCGTGACCCAGAGATCGATTAAGATCGAGATTGGCCAAGATCGAGACTGGCCAAGATCGAGATCGAGCAAGATAGAGATCGAACGAGACCAAGGGAAGCTTACTGAGCCAAATAACGGAAAGTCGAAATATCCGCAATCGGGCGAGGATCGCGGCGGAAATCCTGGCACGTATCAAGGAGAGGCCGATTAATTAGCCTATCATGGGATTCTTTACTGTATTTAGAATTGTATCAAGAGTAGGACTCCCCTACTATATAAAGGAGGTCTGATCATTTGTAAGAGAGATCACATTTACGCAATACAAAGCAATATACTGCCTCCTTTTAGCTTTCAATATCTTGTTACTTTGTTCTTATATCATTTGAACCTTCACTTGGTTTGAGGGTGACCGAACTCAAGGGCCATGGATATTCGATTCGTTTGGTTTGTATTTATTTCTTTCACAGTCAATTTTAATATTAATATATATATATATTCTCAATTTGTGCCAAGTTATATCACGTATCCTTAAAACCGCGTATAAATTCAATTGTTTTCCTTTTTTTTTTTTTGGTTAACACACTCCTATAGACAGTAAAAGAAATTTTTAGTAATATATAGTAGTAACATTTAATCAACTTGCGAATATAGTGGTGTAATGAAATATAAACCAGTATGGTGTAATGGTTATCCAAACTCGTGGTTTATAAATTACAGTACAGATAAAAATATACTATATGAGTGAGAAAATGGACAAAGCTGTGGAACTCCACCAGTATTGTTCGGATAATACCATGCTTTACTTTTACCCACAGAAGCACAAGGATTAAGATAAGTTTTGATTATCATGTCTAAATTTTGATGGATAAAGTTATTAATAAAATATAGTAAATAAATTCATAAAATTAGTTGAAATATACATAAACTTGCTCGATCAGCATCATTATCAAGAAAAAAGTTTTGATAACTATGGGAATTCGTTGGATGCCTACTTAATTAATGATAGCCACTTAGTTAAGGAAAGTGCATGTGGTCGTGTAGTACTTAACATTGGATAATACAACATTTATAGAAAATTCTCCAAAAGCACTGAAATCTAAACATCACTTTCATTCAATTGAAGAAACCGACCTCGTAAAGCTGAAATTTTTTCTTGTAGATAAGGTTCACAATGTGATCCGATACCCATCTCTAACTTGGCCCCCCATCACCATCAATATTTCTTCCTGCTTATAAATTCCATTAAAATATTAACTTAAAGTTTATGAGTTTCTACGTATATCTCAAATTAAATAAATGATTGATTTATATTTAGATATTTATGAAAATTTAGTAAATATCTTAATACATATATAAGATTTGAAAAAAAAATATTGAGTTATGTGAAACCCCATGTTGTATGCTAGTTCCGCCTCTATCCACACCTTTTTTTGGCATTAATATATTGGCTATAACAATATAATGCATACCAATTGAAATTAAGATTTACTTTGTTGTTGTTCTAGTTGTTCGAAGTATTATGATAATGTTAAGTTTGGTTAGAGATTTACAATATGTCAAATAACAGTATATGCAATGTTAATTAGTGAAATTAAGATTTAATTGATGTTTTTCTAATTATGAGATAATTTTTTGTTTAGTTCAAGATTTATATGTCAACCTAAAAATTAGGGTTTGTTTTGTTTATAGACAAATTATACACTTATTAATAATACAGGGATCCCAGTGTAGAGATTAGTAATCCAGTAATCATTTGTGTTGAATAGGAATATTTAGTTTGATATATTAAAAATTACTTACACAATGCATAACTAGAATATGTGTTTGCTTCTTAAGCAAAATAAAATTTTATTTGCTATTACAAGGATTAGTTTTGTCATTTGAATATTTTTAATTCATACAAGACTAATATATGCATTCATATTCTAAATTTTATCCCGCATAAATAAAATTCTTAGCATAATTTGCCAGCATTATTTATGAGAAAAGAAAAATAATAGTGGTATTATATATAGAGATTAAATTTCCTCATTACACAAACTAAACAACCCTTACGTGTTTGCCGAACAAAAAATTATATAAATGAAATAAAGTCAAATAAAATGGATTAAAATTTAAATAGTCCAAAATTTGAAGCTATTACTAGTCTCCTAGACCTTGGATAATTAATATGAATGGTTATGTATGTTATCTTAGAATATTAAATGAAAGACCCACGACAGGAAATGTGGATATTTCGCATAAATAATGAACATTTCTTATTTTCCTTATCCTCCAACTCTCTAGATTTCTCCCATATACATAAACCTTAGTATCTACAAAATATATAAATGTAGAGAAAAATATAAGACAGGAGGAAAAGGCAGATTTTGATACTAAAGAAGATTCCACAAGAGTAACATCACTATATATAATTTTGGCCACAAAAGTTTAGTGGAAAGTGATTTGAAAGATCAGCTGGCTGCTTGTAAGATATATTACCACATACTGAGAAGTAAAAGAAAGAAAAGAGAGGCTGTGGATGCAAGATTTTCTTGGTAAGTTTATCATGTAGAGAAATTTTTGGCCTTTTGTCTGTATTAGAAAATAGTCTTTAAATTTCTCTTTTATTTCTTGGGTATTAGGTGGATGGTTGGAGGGGTTAATTTGGCTGCTTCTGAGATACGTGCAACAATTTTTGGCATATTTTCTAGTTTTAGTATATTTGTTCTGATATCTCTCTTTATGACACAATTCAATTCTTGATTTTGAGATTGAAATGATGAAAGGTAAAAAAAGATTTCAACTTTGGATTACTTTTTTGATTTGTCATAAAAAATTAATTGTGGGTTGAGTTTAATTTCAAGAATCCTGATTTCTGCAAAAAGATTTCTTTGTATTCAATTTATTATGGAAGAATGTTGTTTTGATGTCATTTTTAGTTTAGCTAACTTGTATGACCAAGCCATTTTGTGGTGAATTCTTGTTTCTCTTATAGGCCAACTGGTATGACTAGGTCATATGAAGGTTGATTTTGTATGTGTTTGTTTCTTAATTATCTCCACTATGTTTGGTTTTCTAGCCTTGCGGACATGATTTTTCTTGGTTAAGAATTTGTTTGATCCTACAAGAAAGCATGTAATTACCTTTGAATCGCCTTTTTTAGATAATTTAATTCCATAATGTGCCCTTCTTGTTAAAATTCTGTCTTTTCTCTTCCTAAAATCCTGGTCTCTGTACTACCCGGAACCTTATATATTCCATGTTGTTTGTGGAATAATCTCTCTTTTTTTTGCATTTTCCATTGTTGTTCCCTCCATGTTTTGCCTAGAAAAATTAGCTCATGATTCTCTGATCAGAAGATAGCTGATAATGGAACAGGGTTCCTTGGCCTACGTGGGTCCCGATTTGTGGTTCTATTATGTTCTTATATCAGTTTCTGGTGAAGGATACTATTGAGGATTAAACATGGAGAATGGTCATGAATCACTCAGCAATGGAAAACCAGCTGATCCTGGTCTCCAAATTATTAGGCACCCCTCTTACCAATCGTGTGGCAAATTATCATTATCTTGGTTAGATATAAGAGTTTTCTATATTAGAATCAGCAATTTTATGGTGGACGATTCGACCCCAGAATATCTTACTCTCAACCATATTCCTCTTTGTCCTGATACACTGCTTGAAGTCAATGGAAGAAGATGTTCCATGTATTCAGAAGGAGCATCTTGCCTCCTTCGAAGGGACCGGGTTGATAAGAAATCTGAAGAAGCTACATTTGTGAGCACGGATAGCATAAAGCTGACTCGAAGTGTGAAATTTGAGGTTTTCAATAAGGATGATCTTGTGCTCTCAGGGGTTTTAGAGATGTCCAATAGCAATGGCTTTGTTGGGGAGGCTAAAAACAGCGTCAAGAGATGGAATATGAATTGTGAATCAGTTATGAGTGCCGGCACTGGTTTTCTGAAGGGTAAACAAATTATAGGTTCTGAACCATTGTCACCAACGATTGAAGTCTTTATTACCGGTTGCTTCTCCGGCACACCTATCATCTTAACCAAGAGTCTGCAGCTCAATCACAGGAAGAAGCACAACAGGAAGGGTATGTTAGACTCAATTCCGGAGCATGAAACAGATGAGCAGCATAAAGATGTCTCATCTGGACTTGATCTTCAGGTATAATTGGTAGTCCAGAACCGGCTTTTTATATATCCATTTGGTATAGTTATTTGGTGTTTTCACATTCTATAATTTCGTACAAAATGCAAAAATTGCTTATAAGGCTCATTCAAACATTCAAATTATTTACATAGTTGAACAATCATTGCTACCTTTAGTGAACTTGGTGTCTTCCTAAAATGTATAAAACAATTAATAAACTTAAAAATGCTTGCAGCCCCTTCTTCCTCCTCTTTCTCCTCCTGTGTTCTTTTAGGGTGATTCTCTTGCTTCGGTCCAAACTAATTTCAGGTTATTTTCATGGTAAAAACAATTGGGAAAAAGCAGATTTTGGGCACAATTGTTTTTCTTCCCTAAACTGTGAATGATGCGCGAACTAGTGGTTGTTTTAGTTTTAGCTTTTCTACAACTTCTTCTTTTAATGATAAAAAGCTATGATTTATAAAATGTCCTTGTGTGGATTCTCTCTTGAAGACTTTTCATGGATTTACACCTTAATCGTTTTTTGGTTTGGTTTCCTTTTCATTTCCTTTAAATCACTAAAATGTGCACTAGCTGACTTTGAGTGGTTCTTTCCCTGAGCCTTCACTATTGATTGCACATGCACCTTGAAAGTAGCTTCTGCTGTCCTTTATTATAGTTGACGAAACTATTAGTACTCCTTCACGTCCCTTCGTGTTGTCAGCTTTCATGCTATATTTTGACAGAGTGGGGGGGATTAGGAAGTGATAACATGACCATGAGAACTAATTATTACCCTACCATTGTTGCCTGGCTTTATTCGTGCTTCAAATCATTCTTTGTTTTGGATAAAATTGTACATGTGTTATATGATGAAACATGTTTCTTTGTTACAACTTACAGAAATGTCTGTATGTTTTAGAAGTAGGACAGGAATCTCATCGTAATCATGTCATAGGATATGGGAGGAGACATATCTTTAGATGATTCTTTAGTATTCTGTTTATCCTTTTCCTTTGTTACAACAGAAATAGCACCGAGGAAGTGCCAGTATTTACAAAATACAAGAAATAGTCCCTCAATCAAATTGTAGGAGCTAATAAAGTTCAGTAGAAGTGTAGAACATCTACAATTTTACATTCTTAATACCATGGGGCAGTAGATGGCCAACATACAGGTTTCAGTTTAGAAGTAAGGATAGAAACACCATCTACTGTTCCCCTTCACAAACTTCACAAAAAGCATGATAAAACAGTATTTTTAATCTTCCAACCAGCTTTCTTCTGTTTCCTTCTAAGCCGGTTGAGATAAGCATCTATTCGAGATTTCAGCATTACCCTAGTGTACCCAAAAGATTAAGATATCTCAGCATACCTTTGCCACCTCAGAGTGTAGGAATAGATTATTTGGTCCCTCTCTTTCCTTCTCGTATGTGTAGGTCCTATTACTTAGCATGTATCTCCTTTGCCAAATAATCATGTGAGAGGCATGCTTGATGAAGAGCTATCCACCCCAAATAGGATACTTCAGAAGGGCTTCTACATTTCGATAATAGTTGCCGAAGCCAGGGTCTTTTGACACTTCTCCTGCTGTCCCTTTTCCATCTTAGGAAATTTACCTTATTAAGACAAATCCATTCCTTCCAATATCCTTTTCATTGTTACTGTACTCTCAATCTCCTAAACTTGGCAATTCCTTCTAAAGATGTCCCAAAATTTCTTGTGCTCTAGACTGTGCTTATGCGGCATTGGGATATACAATCAAGCTAAAACGCTACTGGAAATCCTCCCTTGAAAGAGTGTGACCAAGGCATGGATCTTGCTAGAGTTTAAACTTTAATCCATTTCCTTTCTTGGAATAAAAATCAATTTTAAAATAGGGGACTCAATATGTAACCTCAAGTTCCTCACTCCCAGTTCACCTGACATGCAGGGGCATTATCACCATAGCAACTAGCTAGGACCCACCATTTCCTCTTTTGGCATTACATTGCAACTCTTCAAGGGCAACATGTATTTATGCTGTTTATATGAGCTGATTAAAACGGATTCGTGGTTTATTTGTCGCTTATCATGTGTTACTGGTGAATTCTCTGCTATTTTGGGTACATGCACTGCATGTAAATGACTTCCTGAAGCAAAAATTAAACGAAAGAAAAGGAAAAAACCTTTGTCAAGTGTCTTTCTTAGTTTCTTAGCATTATATTGTAAGTGTCAAGCTGCAAAAGTCAAAGGCCTTCAGTATGTTTGTCTATTACCCATGTCTATTTGTTCCTAATATTGTTTTATATAGCATGCATAATATCTTGGCAGCATTTATTCATGTGTTGACATGAAAAAAGGAAACAAAGGTCGGTCCTCCCTCCTTTCCTGTCCTCTTTTTTACTTGATTAAAATAAAAAGAAAAAGGAAACAAAAGGGGCAGTTTTTGCACTAAAAAGTTAGAGCCCTGAATCATGGAAATTATTCATGTGCTATCCATGAATATTTGTGAACCTTTTAAAATGCTATAATTGTTGAGTACCGCTTCCTGATGAAAATCAGTAGGCTCCTTGCTGACATCATCGTTACATTTACGTCTGTGGCATTGAGTGCTGCCATGTATTTCTTTAGTTTAATAAATTCTTTGTTTTCCACTTGCTATAACAACCTTATAGAGATCTGTTTTCTTTTGTAATGATAGATAATTTTTTGCATGTGATATGAAGGTCAAATTTACTCTCTAATTAAGTCAAAAGTTACAAGTAGGTTATAATGTTTCAACTGATTTTATTGCCTATTTTGCTGCTTTGATTTTGAAGTCGAAAAAAGAGAGGGATGGTTGCATATTTGACCTCACTTTCAGATTTTTGAGTTCCCTTTGTAGATTCTTTTGCTTAAAATCTTCACAGAGCTATGCCGGCTTTTAGCATTTCTTAGTCCCAACATTTGACAGAAGCGAGTCTTTTAAGCATAATTAGTCGAAGAATTCACGCAGCTTCTGAACTTCATTGTGTGTTAACAGGTTGAAGAGTATAGTAAATATGAACCAGAAAGCGAAGAAGACTACAATAGCATGTACTGGAGACAGACTGAATATATGGATGGTGAAGATGGAGAACTATCCTGGTTCAATGCCGGGGTCCGTGTTGGTGTAGGGATTGGCCTTGGCATTTGGGTAGGAGTTGGAATAGGAGTTGGTCTGTTAGTCCGCACCTACCAGACAACTACGCGAAACTTCAGAAGACGGTTTGTATGATATGTACTGCTGCATTTATTTTTTGCATAAACCAAACGGCTAACAACAGAGATATGCTTGTCTTGAGAGTGTGAATTCTACTTGTTAAACAGTTTCAGTTAGGGCTGTATTTTGTCCCGGGCCCGGGCCTTAGTGGGCCTAACGGGCCGGGCCTCGCGGTCCCGGGCTTCGTGGTCCCGGGCTCTGGCGGTCCCGGGCCTGGCGGTCCCGGTCTTCGTGGGCCTAATGGGTGGAACCGGCCCGTGACGGGCCTAAGCCCACATGGTCCTGTGCTTAACGGGCCGGGCTCGTGGGCTTCGCGGGCCTAGCGGGTTTTT